AATTAAAAAAACAATATCAAGAAGATTTGTAAAAATTTACTGTCGTCAGATTCTTTCCACTTTAATTGCATCAATGATGTTGATGTCAGTTCTCTTAATCATAGCGACACATGAGAAGCAACTTGTGTATCCTTCAAGAGGCGAATGGTTAAATTAATTATGGTACATACACACTTTAGAATTCTAGAAAGTGGTTAACAGGGTGAGGTGGATCTGTTTGTGCTCTCTCAGAAAGATCCTGCATTTATTTTATTCAGTGACAAGGGCAAGAAGCAAAATGACATGTACACTGTTATACATGTATTTTTTAAAATCCATGGTATATTTTTCCAATACATGTATGTAAGAATAGTCCTGGAAAAAAATCTTAAAATACTACAACACAAGATTTTTTAATGCAGTTACCTCCGGGATGGGATAAAATTTAGAGGAACATAGTAAGGAAGGAGAATTATAATCTATCCCTATTATTAGAATTTTTTGGCAACACGAATATATGCCCTATTTTCTTTGTAATTAAAATACATAAGAGAATAGAAATAGTATCTACGTATTATTCAGATAAAGTATTTATGAGATATAATGGGAAAACGTGGTTTAGAATTGCTTCACATGACAACGTTTTATTTCTTAGGTACATAACATTTGATGAGCATTGGCAAGGTGTTTCAATTGTCAGGTGATCCCAGGATCCAGGGTGCTTCCGTCATGAACTTCCCCAGCCCAACACAGGCTCTGTATGTGTGCTGCTCGATAAAACAAAAAGCGTGCAAGTGGCATACTAGTTCTCAGATACCTTTGTCTGGAGGTGAGAGGCATGCTTCTGCTCATATTTCAGCGCCAAGGATAGTCACTTGACCCTTCCTAACTACTAGTAGAGTGTCAAGTAGCCTCCAAGAATAGAGAACAAGACATGAAGTAACTGAGCATCTGCAGACCTTCCCATTAACTGTTACATAATAGGCAGTGAGAAAACAGCAACTATTACAATTTGCTATGACATTAGCCCTCTTTATTCCTGGAGAATTTTCTGAGAAGATCAAATGTAGCTGCCTTTCAACAACTTTTTCTAGTGCCCATGTGTGACCAGTGTTTTCAAATACAAGATCACACCAGTTTTCTAAAGGGCACTGGAAATAATCTCAGCAGGCAGATGTCACCCCTTTTCACTGTATATCCCCTTTCTGCTCTGACCATGGATTATAATAATGTTATAATCTCAATACACTCAGAATTTTCTGATTCCTTTTGCTGCATGGAAAACCTATAATTTGTGAGTCTCTGCTATCCACTACCTGAAGAATGTGGCTGAACACTTGTTCAGGTATCTTTAAGCACACTGAAAAATTAGGATTTTCCTCTGAGGCAGATAGAGACAAGAGTCAGGAGTATGCTGGTGAAGTTTTTTCTTTTCTTATGAAAACTGGTGTGTCTGCCAGAAATATTTTCTCTCTTGGTGGTGGACTGAATGATTGTTCCACAAAGATGCCCGTACCCTTATCCCTGCAACTTGTGAATATGTTATGTCACATGGCCAAAGGCACTTTGCATATGCCATTAAAATTAAGGAATGGACCTTCAGAGAGGGAGATTATAATGTATTACCTGAGCAGACTCAATCTAATGACATGAGCCCTTATAAGCAGAGGACTTTTGTTTGGCCAGAGGCAGAACAGAGATGCAGCACAGTGGGAGTAGGAGAGTTTCCACATGAGACAGAGTCAACATGCTGTTTCTGAAGTAGGGACCCATTTGCAAGGAGTGGAGAGAGGCCTTGAGGAGCTATGGCAGCTGCAGCTGACAGCAAGGAAACGTGGCCTAGGTCTTAACATTACAGAGAACTGAATTCTTCATAGAACTGGATTCCTAAAGCAACCTGTGCAAGTGTGGAATGAGATTCTTCTCAGTATCTCCCCATAAGAACCCAGACTGACAGCTTGATTTGGGCTTTGTGTAACCCTGAACAAAGAAAACAGCACAGCCAACTCATATGTATTACCTACAGAAAGGTGAGATAATAAATGTGTGTTCTTTTAAGTGCCTTGATTTATGACAATTTGTCGGCAATAGAAAGTTACTACATTCTCCTGGAAGGACACCTGAGTTTTTAAGAATCCAGCTTCTGCTGATTGTTGCTATATAGTGATTTCTTCACACCTTCATCATCTACCACTTAGGAGGGAGGCTTTGGTTCCTGACCACTTAGTTAAGCTCTCTCATCAGTTTATGGATTCAGTGGCCAGTCTCAAATATTTTATCAGATTAAGTTCTTTTGTCTTACTAATCCCATTTGCTTTCTAAAAACTCTTTAGGGGCACCTGGGTGGTTCTGTCGATCAAGCATCTGACTATTGGTTTTGGCTCAGGTCACGGTCTTGCAAGCCCAGCATTGGGTTCTGTGCTGACACCCGGAGCTTGCTTAAGATTCTCTCTGACCCTCCCTTGGTCACGCTGTCCCTGCCTCTCTCAAAAATAAAAAAAAAAATAAATAAATAAATAAATAAACTTAAAAAAATAAATTAAAAAAAAATATTCCCTAACTTCAGGGTTATCTTTCAAGAATCAGTAGATCCTGTGCCAAATCAGACTGCTCACAAGCTAATTTGGAAAAAAAAACTTTGAGTGAGAGAGAAGCACCAAGAGCAGATGAGCAGTCTAAACTTCACTGCCAAAGTAAACAACCACATGAATGGGATTACTGTTATCACAGAGGGATTCCGTGGTCAGGCATGGGACAGACAGGGGACACCTTCAGGAGTTTGGAATGCACTAAGTTAGGGGAAAGGCACGTGATTCTGGGGCTTCTGTTTCACTGTGAACAGAGTGCAGCCTTATGAAAGGAAGTTGGACAGCTGGTCAGGATAGAGATTTTGACATGAGGGCATACTGGGAAGACCCAGGGAAAGAGTGATGTAATTCAGGAAGCGCTGGAACTGGTCCCAAATTCTGGGACCTGGGTGGAGTCAGCTCTCAAGGAACCCTGCGGGTAGAAGCAGGAGGAGCCTAGGTAGATTAAGCCCACCAACTCTCCTGAAATTGTTTTTAATTCTCATTTTCTTCTTTATTTATTCCAGCTGGGCTTAATATATTGGCCACAGGGTCCTTCATTTCAATTCCCTGAGACATTGTGGAGTAGTGAGAGTAGAAATGAATTAAAAGACAAAACATTTGCTTTATTCAAGAAGGAGTGGAATAGTGAGGGACCCTAAATGAAGTCAGACCAGATGTCTAGTCCCACTTCTGACATTTATGAGCCAGATGAAGTCAGGAAAATTGCAGAGCTCTGTAAGACTTTTCTGTGAAATGAGCTAGAGAGGTCCTATTCTGTAGGACTCCTGGGATGTATATAATGTATGAAAGCACTCGGCACATGTCTAGCATGTATTCTGTTTTTAATAATTTGCAGTAATGACTACTACTTTTTTGACCCAGACTTTACTGAAATCTGCTCTGTGATTTTTTTTTTAATCCAAGAGGTATCAGAGAATATGCAGCACCCTATGAGACAGCACAACAAATCAGCCAACACGATGCATAGCAAGTAAAGCTAAATTACTTACTATGCGTGCTTTTCAGGATATGCTATTTATTGCATGTTGGGGAGAGTCTTCCCAGTTAGGTGGAAGTTAAGAGTCATTGGGGTCAAGAACCAACTCCCTCCAACTGTCCTTCCATCCAAACCACTTCTCTTTTCATTTATTTCAGTTCCATTCAAAATCTATCCCTCACTTGGAGTTTGCCAAATTACACATAACTTAATAAGATGAACTTGAATGTAGTGGGAGGTCTCTCAAGGCCAGAGCAAAGATTGCTAGCACAGTGGCTTCTAAGCATACCCATGTCATGTGAGTATCACCTCTATTTCTCAGAAACTCCCTGGGGATGATATGCCTAAAACACAGTTTGTGTGCTGTGTTGAACCGCACTGGGAAAAGAACCGTGGGGAAGGATGCAGGACACCTTACATTCCCCAGGAGATTTCTCTCTGGTTAATTCATGATTTTAAAGTAGCTGCTAAATAGTTTTCCATTCCAGGCTTTACGTCTCTTAACTCTGGACACAACTTCTGGGGGTCTGGCCCCTACCCACCGCCCCCACAGCCTCATCTGACCCACCACCCAGCTTCTTGTAAAACTGACTCACACCAAAGGACTTGCAGTTGCCCAAAGCCCCAGACCCGCTGGCCTCAGGGCACCTTACACTTGACTTCTCACATCTGGATCCTCCCCATGGGAGGATGTGAGAAGTGAAGTGATAAGTGCCCTGAGGCCAGTGGGTGTATCCCATCCTCTGTCCTACTTGACAGCTACTTCTACACTCTCAAATTCTATGGGCACAGTGGGTTTTGATTATCCTGACACTCCCAGTACTAGCACGAAGACTCCCAAAGAGCAGATGCTCAAGGAATGTTTGAGAAATAAACGAGACAGTGTGCAAGACGTCTAATTTATTATGCTATAATTAATTCTACATTATTGAATAAACTAAGCACATCTAAGTGTGTATATATATGTGTGTGTGTGTGTGTGTGTGTGTATATATATATATATATATATATATGTATGTGTGTGTGTGTCTATATTAACTTGAGAGAACAGACCAAACGGTGATAAAGGAATGTAAAAAAATTCATCATCTTTTACACTCTCTATTTCTTGATCCCAGCATTTTACTGCTGAGTTCTTTCATGGAAATGCTACAATGTTATGTTCCAAGTAACTAAATAAAATGGAAAATTTCCCAATTTTTTCTATAAAATTGTAAAACTCTTACTCTTAAAACTCATGAACATCAATAAATGAATTACTTATTCATAAACTCATACTCTGAAGCTACTTAAACTTTCTGTTAAAAGGAGCAACATTTAAACAAATATCCAGGTTCCTACATAGAACACAAACATGTTATATATTCTCTGGTCTCCAGCCCCACCCTGACTTTTCACTAATGAGAACATTAACTGTTCTCTTCAAACAGATAGTAAATAACCTTCCTCAGCCTTCACTTGTGGCAGGAAAAGCTGCTGGCTATGGCCTTGGTACGTGCACTGGCCATGGCAGCGGTACCAGCCTTGGCTAGAACTCTGGCTCGGGCTCGCTCTTCCTCATCTCTCAAAGCCTCTTCATAACAGCCTGGGAAGGCAGTGGGGACGGTATCATGGCTCTTGGCCACAAACTCAAGGACTTTCATCTTGCTGGTCTCAGCGTAGGCTCTGGGGCCCCACAGGAACTCATAGTGCGGAGGATCGCTGTTGGGCACCTGGCGGTACTCCAGGTACTTTTCTTTCACCCAATCTTTGGTGATGAGCTTCTTGGGATCCCCATAGATGAAATTCTTTTTTCCATCATACAACCCCATCATATTCAGCACTTTCCAGACTTCCTCCTCAGTGGCACGGTTGCCCTTTGTGAAGATCACACCCAGGACAGTCATCAACAGGCCTGTCTTGGGCACAGCTCCATTATCATTCACTCTTGCATCGCAGCTCCGTTCCAGCTTGTTGATAAGGACGTAGGTGTTCCTGTTGGGATCCATTTCCTTTACATCAAGGCCAAAGACCAGCTCCAAGTGCTCAGAGGCTTTCCTTAGGATCTCATGGAAGTGATTCTTATAAGTCTGGATTACATTTCTCAGCATATCTGCCTTAGTAATTGGCTCTTTCACTTGATACTTGTACAGCAGGTAGTATACCAACAGAGCAACTTTCTCTTCTATAGGGCCTCTGCGACATTGCTCAGTGGTATCCCCGGCCTTTGAGGTATTTTGCTTTTCCTCCACTTGATTGCTGGCATCTTCATTAAATTTTGTGTTTGAAGCAGCTGCAGCAGTAGTGCTGGTGGAGCAGACTCCTCCAGGAACTTTAGGACTCCCGGGTGTTCCCGTGGCAGGGGAGCTCTGGGGAGCATCTTTGAAATGAGGAGATGGGGAAGAGGGAGACTCTTCTTCCTCTGGGGCAGTGGTCTGAGCAGGCACCAGACGCTCTGGCCCTTCTCGAGCCTGGCGGCGTTTTTCACGGGCACGAAGCTTACTCTTCTGGCCCCGAGGCATGATTCTGGTCAGGGACAGCAGGCACGAATGTGGAAAAGAGGATAGATGATTCAGTGACCTGGAGAAAAGAGGATGAAATAGTGTGATATCCTTTGGCAGAGAGACACCACCTTGGGCTTTATCAACAGCCATTTCTTCAGGTTCCTTGAGGGTACTGCTCTAGGATCCCACAAGACTCCTCTTTTCGGATTAGCCTTTCCTCTGAGGACTCTGGAAGTAGCCAGAGTTCACCTTGGGCTGAAGCTTTCCACCCCTACCTGAGTCTACGGGAGCTGATACAGGGTTTGGCAGGTCCAGGCTCTATGGAGCCTCCCTTGTTGTGGAGTAAGGGACATTTCCATTCACACTCAGCACCATTTCCTTGACTTCTGATAGGACCTGTGGTCCTCTGATTAACCGATTTGATGCTGCCTCTTCATTCCAAAGCCCTCACCTCAACTGACATCCTGGAGGAGGAACTGAAGGGGCACTATATCTGAGCACATCTGCCCAGGGTCGCCCTAAGACGACAGAAATGGCAAAGCTATGTGGGACCTTCTTCATCCTAGGATAATTAGGGTTCTCACTTTGCATTTAGAGTCCACAACTTGGCTTCTTGCAGGGCCTAGGACTGTCTCTTGGCTGACCTTAGACCTATCCCCTCAGAGCAAGAATTATACATTTTTGAAAAATTTGAGGAGTTTGGGGAGGACTCAGTGTAACGTATCTTCCCCAGGGACCCCTTTGAGGGATGATATCACATGGAGGGCTCTGTGAAAAGCCTCTGTTCTGTGATGAGTGGTCTGCCCAATGCTCAGGTTCCTTATTATGGCTCCTCTCCTTGACTGCCAGTTACCCTCCCTTCTGCAGACTTTGAGGGCTATAATAATCAGACCAAGGCAGTCATCCACCAGATATCCTAGAATATGCAGTGGGGGGGGGGGGGGGGGGGGGGGGGGGGG